ATGAATCAGAGCGACGGTTGGTGGGCTGGACCGGAGTCCTCCAATAGCTGTGAACCAAAGACGCATAAATTAAAAAAAAACTGGAGAGTCTTTAAATAATGACGCCAAAATATTTGCACCTGTTTTTACTAAAACATTAAAATTAGGACTCATCTATATTAAAGAGGAATAATCTGGATTTATTGCAGAAAGATATTTAATAACAGTCATTTGGTTTTGGACAATACTGATATTAACGAATATACAATAGATAAAAGCTTTAGCATTAATAGATTCACAGATTATCATTATTATTACTTAGAATAGAATAGAACACAATACAATAGAATACAATAGAATAGAAGAATAGAATAATCCTTTAATTGTCCCACAAGGGGAAATTTGGTAATGGCTGAATATTGTTTGCATCATGTGGGTGAAGTTTTCTTACATGGCACCACTTGGATGCAGGCAGAAAGGTGAATCCCAGCATGGCGAGATAAGGTGAGGCAGAAATAAGCAGAGACAAAGGATAAACAGATGTCTGTAATGTCAGATACACTTTGCTTGATTTTATATGGGAAAATTAACAAAAGAACGTCATAAACAACAAGCTAAAAACAAAAGAAAAAGAAGATGGAGTGAAGTTTTAATTTTTTAAATGTTAAACAATTTCTTCAACAATAAAATGATTACTAAATGAAAAAGACATGATTGGGAACATCTTCCTGAAACACGCTTTTAATCTGATGGGTGGGGCTAAATTATTGCATAAATGCCATAACCAAAAGAAATCTACCTGGAAGGTTGTTCATTTTTCATGAGAAAGCTCTTCTGGCTCAGTTCCAGGGTGAGGGATGTGTTCACACTCGGCCAGTGTTGAACCGTTTAAGCGAGCTTTCTGTGAGTCTGCATTTCTGCTGAAGTTGCCTAAGAGAACTTATATCATAAACCATCAAAGGAAAAATTCGATACATTCTTTGATATTTGGAAATACGTGAAATCTAAACTAAATAGTCTGTAAATTGATATGTTTACTGTAAAGTAACATAAACAAACTGAAGATGTGAACATACACACGGGTTCAATTGTTGTTGTTCAATTACAGTCCATCTGTCCGCCGATGTCGAGCAGTCAGTATAGAGCGTCCCCGCCTAAAGCTTGGATTCCTTTACTTATATAGTTTTAAAAAAA